CGATGTTTTGAGACCATGGGCTGTGTAGCCAAAGTGCTGCTGGGTTGGTGCCCACCACACCTCGGGTCGGGGCTGGGTCCTTGGGTGCTGGTCTCAGGTGGTTGCATCTTGAGTCAAGCTCAGCGCGATCCCAGGCGAGGACTGGCTGGGTCACCTTGTGGGCTTGAGTGACTTGGGCCGGGCCTCTGCGTCCTTTCCTTCCCCCTGCTGTGGAACCGGACAAACCCCAGCCATGGTGATCAGATACAGGGTAGGGCTTGTGGAGGACGGGAATAGCGGTGGCTTCTTTCTCCCGTCACTCCACCTCTTGCCACAACTTCTCCCAAAAATGTTTCCTCTTCCTTTTTCCATGTGCCACAGGTTATTTTTGGAAAAACTCTGGAATTGCTAATTTAAGGGTAGAATCAAAAGTTTGAGTGTACAAGTAGGGCAAAAGAGATGATACCGTAAGCACACAACAGCACCCTCCATGCTTGTTTTACACGTGCAATCTTGTGGCCGCTCTGCACAGCGGAGGGTGCTGACAGAAGCAAAGGTGTGAAGTGCTGTTGCTCTCATAAAATAGATCTCTTGGGTTTCTTCGGGAGGCACACACCTGGCCTGGTCTCTGTTCCTTACCTGGCCTTGTGAGATGCTTGTGTTCCTAAAGAGGCAATGTTTGGTTTCAAATCCTCATCCTTTCCTTTCTGTTGTTATAACCTGAAAAAGAGGCATCCTGAAGAGTCTTCTGTTTTGTTGTACCACAGCAAGGTCTGCCTGTCCTCAGATATTTTGTCAGCTATTCCTTAAGTTTTAGTTGTTGTGAAAATGCTGTATCAACTCAGCTGTTCCTGGTCAAGTGACTTTCCACCTCGTCTTTTAATTTGAAGGCAAATTAATAGGAGATTACACGAAAGGTTAGCGGTGAGTCTGAAAACAAAGGCAGATTTACAAAGTCAGCTCACTAATAACTGCGAGCAGGCTCACCCGTTTGCTTTTGACTGCACAAAACTTGCACTCACACAGCCTGCCTTCTGAGGCAGAGTTTTTGCTGAAAATAGGGGTTTTTTTCATCAAAGATACTGAAGCCGCCCGGCTTGCTGTATAAACTCCCCTTCCGGAAAACACCAGGCAGCTTAATTTCTTTTTGCAATGTTTCTCGTGCCTGCTTGACTTGGTAAATGCACAAGTACAAAAGTGAGGGGCTCAGGGAGCTTTTTTCCCTGTTTGAAGTGCAGTTTCTCGGGTTGGTTCCATAAATGCTGTGGCCGCACAGCCTGCGTGGGTTTCAGTAACGCACATGTGCCATGCAAAGCGCAGGATGCAATAACAAATGCAGGTTGTTACAAGTGCCAAACTTTTGGTTTCCTCTGTAAATAACGATAATTCAATGGTTCTATTAAAATACAGAGATGCTTAAAATTCACTGTGTTCCAAAAAAAACAGCAGTGGTTTGTGTTTGTTTTTTTAAATGAATGCTATTTAAAACATTGTAAATTTTTTTTTCAAGTATTGTTCTGCAGGTTTATGTTACTCTTCACAGCTGCCTTGAGACATCACTCCATGTGATGCATATGGACACTTTGCTCTTTATTAGAGCACTAGTGCCATGCAAGTGCATAATAAATGGCAGCTGACAACAGATTTTAGTATTTAAAATGTTTAGATGAAGTGCAATTTGTTTGAATTAATCTCCTCTGCAGAAGGAAGGCTGTGTCTCAGGAGGTGTGACTATACCCAGGGACGCAGGCATGTTTCGGTGCCACTCACAGCGGTGCTTTCCAAGGAGCTACATTTAATTTAGGGTGTGGATCCTTTCTGCCTCTAATGTTAGCATCAAGGTTTGGGGATTGGTGTTCTTTTAACTCTTTGGAGTACTTAAAAAGGGTTCTTCCGGTGGTGGGTTCGTTATAGACATGCTTGTTTTGCCGTTAGAAGCTACTGTTTCCATCTGAACTTGCAGTATTTCCTTTCACTGCTAAGGAACGAGAACAGGCCTGCGTCCGTCATCAGGGCTGTAGCCTTTTG